GGAATTCTTTTCCCATATCGTAGCCAACCACTCACACTTGCAGGAAAATGAGAAAATACAGAACAGGAAGTGGGCACAGGAAGTTTACCCATCATCATGGTTGATCTTGTATGTCTACTTGACCACACAATTGATGTCCAGGTAGCTGATTAAATATGATTTCTGTGTGTGTGTGTGAGGGGGTTTCCAGAGGCAATGGGTTTAGGCTGCCCTGAAACTTATGAGCCACTTGCCTCCATCTGCCTCCCTAGTGTTGGGTGAAGAGTGTGTGCCACCAGCCAAAGATAAGCATTTAAATGGTGGATGGAGTCAAGTGGGTGATCTGCCCACACAGGCGCACATATCCAGCCCACAAAGAACCTGAACCAAAAGGCTGAGGGGGGTTGGAGTTCTCCATCTCCCTGGGTTTTGTTTGTTTGTGAGATAGGGTCTCATATAGCCCAGGCTGACCTCATTACGTAGCAAAGATGATCCTTGGGTCTTTACCTCCCTTGTAGTGGGATCATAGGCCTGGGCCATCATGCTTGGTTTCCTTCTGCTTCTTTGGGCTAGAACTTCAGTTTTCTGTGTCCTTGATGCTTCTGGTTCCTGGGCCTTCTCACTTGAATGTGAATCTGCTCCATTTTGGTTGTCTGGTTCTCAGGAGTTTGAGAAGTTAGCTTTCCTGAGTCTCCAAGGAGGGTGGCAGAGTGTGGGGTTCTTCAGCTTCAGGTAAGAGAAACTTCATAAAAAATTATCTATCCTTCCAGGCAGTGGTGCAGCATTTCTTTGATCCCAGCACTCTGAGGCAGAGGCAGGCAGATCTCTGTGAGTTTGAGGCCAGTCTGGTCTACAGAGTGAGTTCCAAAGTAACAGGGAAACCCTATCTCAGAAAAACCAAAAACAAACAAACAAACAAAAATGTATCCTATCTGTCTGTCTGTCATCTACCTGTCTGTCTAGCTCATTGATCCCCTCTCCCCATGGAATACTGGCTAATATGCCCCAAATAAAATAATTCCAATTACTTTGTGTTTTATAAAAACTAGACTCCTTCTTTCCTGACCACCTCTTTATCTAGCACATCTGGAAGATCTTTGTACATCATTAAATAATAAATACTCCTCTACAAAATTATTTTCTGTTTCCTGCTTAAGAGACTTCCATAGTTTCTGGTAGCCTGGGACTACTCTCCCTCACAGACAGCAGCCTAATACTACGCTCCATGTTCTGACTGAGTCATGGCCCTTTCCAGGAGTCATGGACACTTAAAAGCCAGAGACATTGACTTCTTGTGGGGCTGAGCAGAGGCTGGGGCCTGGGAGTTGCCCCCAGCCCCCAGCCACACTTTGTACCTCTGATGACATCTCCAGTGGAGAGCACTGAAATGTGTTTGCCTGTCTCCCCCTGATGCACGGCCAAGGTGACTCCACAGTGAAAGGAGTTCCATATATGTCCACATACATTCATGCTTGATCCTCACTGTTCATGGACACCACATTTGTGAATTCACATGCTAAGCTTCATGTGCTGGGAGCCTGGACCCCAGCACAGTTGTGCAGGAACTCAGTATAACTTTAAAAAGCGGGGGAGGTCTTAAGCCAGGTAGGTCATGGGGCATTGCCTATGGAGGAGTTAATACTGGTCTCTCTGAGTGAATTACCTCGTATGAGTGTGAGAGGGCCAGCCCAAGCTGTGTGATGAGGGCCAGCCCAGACTGTGTGGTGAGGGCCAGCCCAGACTGTGTGGTGAGGGCCAGCCCAGACTGTGTGGTGAGGGCCAACCCAGGCTGTGTGGTGAGGGCCAGTCTTAGCTGTGTGGTGAGGACCAGCCCAGGCTGTGTGAGATCTTGTCTCAAAAATAAAACAAAACAGGCTTCAGAAAAAGCTCCTTGGTTTAGAGCAGGGACTTGTCTTCCAGAGGACCTGAGTTCAGTTCTCAGGACCTACATCAGGTAGCTCAGAGAGCACCTGCACACATGTGCACATACTCACACACATACGCACATACTCACACACATACATGTAATTAAAAAATAAAAAATGACTTAATTCCAGCACTCAGGAGGCAGAGGCAGGCAGATCTTTGCATTCGAGGCCAGCCTGGTCTACAAGAGCAAGTTCCAGGACAGGATCCAAAGCTACAGAGAAACCCTGTCTCAAACTCCCCCCCACCACCAAAAAAAAAAAGAATATATTTTTAAAAACAGGCTAGAAAGATAGTTTAGCGGTTAAGAGCACTGGCTGTTCTTCAAGAGGACCCAGGTTCAATTCCCAGCACCCATAGGGTGGTTCAAAACCATCTGTAACTATAGTTCCAGGAGCTCTGATACTCTCTGGTCCCTACACATACTGGGCATACAAGTGGGACACAGACACATGCTTTCTTGAGACAGGGTTTCATGTAGCCCAGGTTGGCCTCAAAATCATTACGTGATAAAGGCTGACCTTGAACTCCTGATCCTCCTGTTTTACGTCCTAAGTACTGAGATTACAGGCTTGAGCCACCATGCATATCTTATTTATTTCCAGAACAGGCTCTTGACAGAATGTAGCCCTAGTGGTCTAGAACTCCCACGTAGATCAGGCTGGCCTTAAAATTGCAGTGATCCTCCAGCAGCCGCCTCTCAGATATTGGTATCATGTGTGTGTCAACAGGCACAGCTCCAATCTGAAGCCAACTTTGAATGTCTTCCTCATTCTCCATCTTTTTCGTTGTTGTTCTTGTTGTTGTTGTTGTTTTTGTTTTGTTTTTTTTTGAGACAGGGTCTTTCTATATAGCTTTGGGTTTTCTGGAACTCACTGTGTAGACCAGGTAGACCTCAAATTTACAGAGATCCACCTGTCACTGCCTCCCTAGTGTGCTGGGATTAAAGGTGTGTGCCACCATGCCCATTTTTTTTTTTTTTTTGAGACAAGGTTTCTCACCGAGGACTGTTTTATCCCTGATTTCATAAATGGCAAGAGCAAAGCTCAGAGAGTTTAGGCAACTGAAATTACAAACGGTTGTGAGCCATCCTGTGTGTGTTGTGAATCAAATCTGGGTCTTCTGGAAGATCAGTCAGTGTTCTTCACAGCTGAGATATTTCTCCAGCCCCAGGCTTATATATGTGTCTTGAACATGTATGAGTGTTTGGCCTATGTGCACGTTGTGCACCATGTGTGTGCATCAGATCTCCTGGAACTGGAGTTACAGGTGGTTATGAGCTGCCATGTGGGTGCTGGGAACTGAACCCTGGTCCTCTGCAAGAGCAGTTGATGCTCTTAACCCCTGAGCCACCTCTCCAGTCCTCAACACTCGAATGTTTTTAATATTTACATACTGAAAGTATGTAATATATACATATTATATATATATATATATATATATATATATATATATATATATATCAGAACACTACTCAGCACTAAGAAGGGACCCACTATTTATATGTGCAGAGATTCAGGTGTGCCTTTGGGGATTTGTTCTGGGTGTAAAGAAGGTACCTATGGGTTATGGATTATATGATTCCATTTCTATGATAGTGTTGGAAAGTCAAAATTTTAGGAATGTAGACCCTGTGAGTGGTGACCGGCAGTGAAGGGGGTGGGATGTAGGATAGATGTGCTTAAATGTGACAGAGGAGACCCCCTTGGGGATGGGAGTATTTTCTATAATTTATTAATTATGTCAATATCAATGACAGATTTCTAGTAACTATATTATAGTTTTGTCAGAAAACATCTGAAGCTCCATGTGATTTGTACATATTGTTTCTTACACCTACAAGTGACTCTATAATGCTCTAAAAAAATAACAAAAGAAAAGGATCTAGGGCTGAACGTATAGCTCAGTGGTAGATTACAATAGCATGTGGTTCAACCCTCAGCCTTGGCGGGGGGAGGGAGGAAAAGCTCCCTATGTTTAGTTCAGTCACTTATTCAGTTCTTTGCTTGTTTTGCAGAGCAAAATATCCAAAGCAGTAATCTGGTCACTGTAGGATGAATTTTAATCGTCTCTGAGCTCTTCCACCGGTCAATGTCAGTTAGAAAACATACCCTCTGGGATTACTCAGGCTTCCTGTCTTTCTCTTGTCTGTTTATCTATATAGCATCATCATCATCACCATTATTTGGCAATGCTTTCCTGGGGGTTAATTCATTAGCTTCCAGTTGCCCTGGCAACTTAAGACTCATGTCCCCATTTACTACAGAAAAATTATCTTCTAAGTCTCTGTATGCAGGCCCTGAGAGTCACCTTGGTCCATGAGTTGGTACCTGTCTATTCATGGTTTAGGACTCATTTCTATTTTTCATCACTTAAATATCTCTCATTTTGAGGTACCACCAGCTTTCAAGGGCAGCAAAATATATAGCATCCTTACCTGGACCTAAATCCCTTCCCATAGGGCCAGTATGGACAGACTGAAGGTTTCTTTCAGGTCCACGCAGGAATTACTGTCAGCTGAGCTGCAGTGAGGTGGTAGAGCTTTCTCACAGCAAAGGGTTACACAGTTTTCTTGCTGTTCTTGGAGGAGCAGCTAGTTAGCCACATGTGGGGCAGATGTGGAGGGAGGTATGAGGTGACACTGCTTCTGGCTTTACATGTTTCCATACAACAAGTCTCCTCCCCACCAATTCAGGGATAAAAGCAGGGACAGAAATGGGCAGCGGGGAAAGGACGTCCTTGAGACAGGTGCTGTGGTAGTGTCACCTTGGGAATTTGCTGTCATCAGATACCTTCAGTTTCAGTGCTCGAAGAATGATGGGGCAGCAGATGGATTGATAGTTTAAGTATGAGGACCAATGCAAAAAGGTAAGTTTGTGGCACACACTTATAACCCAGATATGGGCATATGAAGAGAGGGAGACCCCTGGAGCTGGGTGGCTAGCCAGTCTAGCTGTTGTGCAACAAAACTTTTCCTGGGGAGGCACAACATATATGTCTATGCACCACAGATAGGGAGGAACCATGACATACCAAAGTACAGATACTACTAAAGTCCAGTTTCGTAAACCAATGAGTTTTACTGGGGTCACTTACAGTGTGTGGGTGAGACATTGCCTACAGAAATGGAAATCACTTAAAGACAGCTGTATCACCAAAGTCCGCCCCAACATGGGTGGCGGCTCATAAAATCTGAGAACCTGTGCACACTGAACAGGCAGGTTGCTCAGCAGGTTGGAGAGGATTGTTTCCAGGTGCCCCAGTTGTTCTAAAGCTTTTCCTGCCAGATGGCATGGTTTCTGTTTCTCCTAGGCAGCCGGTCTGGTGTCAAAGACTTTCTTGAAACTGGTCAGTTTCAGGGACTTCCTGAAATTATTTTGAGTTGTTTATCTTCCTTCTTTGAAGAGCTTCCCTGCAGGATGGAGTGTTTCAATCTTGGAGAAAACTGTTCCACAATAGTAGCCAATAATTGGTTAATTCCAAGTTTATGGAGAGACCTTGTCTCAAAAAATAAGATGGGGTGTGACTCCCAATGTTATCCCCTGGCACATACATTTGAGCTCAACCCTCCCCCAATACTGATGAGAGGGGTAATTAAATTGGGAGGACTGGGGAGAACTCACTGGTAGAGGCTCAAGCTTAAATCCTCCATGTCACCAACAACAGAACCCCAAACTCTTAATTCCTCCAAATCACTTCCTGAAGTAAGCATTTGCATTTCCATCTATAGAATAGAAAAAGAAGGGAACTGGGACCATGCAAATGACTCACCAGGTCAGAACACCTGCTGTGCGAGTTCAAGTCCCTAGTACCCTGTTAGATGATGCTGGTGACAGCTGTGGTTGCCTGTAACCCCTGCACTGTTGGTGCTGGAGGGAGAACTGCTGGGCTTGCTCAAGGTTGTCAGCCCAAGTTCAGGTTAAGTGAGATAATCTGTCTCAAGAGAATTAGGTGGACATCAGTAGAGCACTGTAAATGTCCTTTTGTGACTTCCCCATACACACACCCTGCACACATAGGTGCATATATATATCACACACACTCGCACACCAATAAGATGAGGGGAAATGATTTGTCTATTATCTGTCAGACAGTGACTAAGTTAAGTCTGAATTAAACCTGCCTGTCAAAATCCAAAGCTCATGTGGTTTATTTTTGTTTTTGTTGTTTTGTTTTGTTTTCTGTTTTGGCCACTACCTCTGAGGCAGTTTAGGGTAATGACTAACCAGCTAAGAGCAAGCTGTGCAGTTAGATTTCTGTGGATTCCACCTGGTCCGTGCAGGGTAACCTTAGGCAAGTCAATGTCTCCGATTCTTTGTTTCTTCACCTTTCTAGCTAGATTTTGAGAGGCTCTCTATGGCCACAGGGTTGTTGAAAGCATTTCTAATTCTAACAATTCTGTGCCGTGGGGCACTTAGCACCTGCTGTATGCAAGTGATGGAGGAGGGTTGGATAGCTTGTTTCCGAAGGCATGGCCAATGTTCACAATATTTCTCAGTTCTCTTCCAGTCTGTTGCTCTTCATTCTCCCCGACTCACTCGGCCTCCATAATCTATGCCCTCTTTTAATTAAATAAAGGATCATAACAAGCGCAACTGGTTTTTCCGCATCACCATACTTCAGGAACTTTACCACCTCTATCTCACTTAAGTGGAGTAGCAAAGCTTGCTGGGTATGGAATAACAAGTCCCTCCTCTTAGCATCGGCCCCTTAGAGGCAAACAAAACCTATTCTCCATACTACTGAATGTCACAGCGCAAGTGCCACAAGTCAGTAACTAAGCACTGTCAGGGAGGGGCTGCTGTCATTTCCATGTCACAGGTAAAGACGCCAAGCTTTGGGGCTGGAGAGCTGCTCTGCAGTCAAGAGCGTTTGCTGCTCTCTCAGAGGACGCCAGTTTGGTCCGCGGCACCCACAGCGGTCCTCTCACAACTCCCTGTAACTCCAGTTCCAGCCATTTGCAGCCTCCTTTGACCTGCTAGGGCACTGCATGTAGTGCCCATGCATATAAAATAAATAAGCATCTTTAAAAGTAGAGCATTGCAGAGTAAAAACTTGCCGGGAAAGCTGTTTGGTTCTGGTAGATCTTGATTTATACAACACACACACACTGCTTGATTTTTTTTTTTAATTTTGATTTTTGTTTTTTTGAGACAGGGTTTGTCTACATAACCCTGGCTATCCTGGGGTTATGTAGACAGGCTGACCTCAAACTCAGAGAGATCCACTTGCCTCTGCTTGGGATTAAAGGCATGCTCAACCACACCCAGTTCCTGTTTTGAGTTGGCAGTTTAATCCAGGTTCTGCAACACGGAATTCAGGGCTGAGCACCGACCCCGGGTTCTCGGACATTTCTGGGGTTGAAACAAAGTGAAAATTTGTCTCCCTGTGAATTGTAAAGATGCCTAGCTTTGGGAAATAAATAACCCAACTCCTAGGCTGGCCCAGTTCCCTGCACCCAGTTAGATCTTAATATTTCAAAGCTTGATATTTCTGAAAGGCTTTGGCTAATAATGGGATAACCTCACACTCAAGATTAGAAAACCGAGACCCAAAGAGGTGAGGAAACTGTGCCCTGGGCCACTCCATCTGATAACAGGGCTGGAACTGGAATCCGCGTACTCTCGACTTATTGCGGGACTTTAGCACGGAGTTTTCACTGCCTTACCTGAGGTATCGAGTCATTAGCTCTCTCTGGTAGGTGTGGCGCAGCCCAAGGGCGGCCACGGTGTCCCGGGTTGTGATTCAGGACAGTAGTGGGAGGGATGGAGCGTGGGTGAGAGGCGTGAGCAGGCCCTGACAGAGGCGGGGCTTCTAAGAATATGGGGCGGGGCTTGCAGTTTAAGTATGTGCAGGACCGTGGGCGGGTCCTGGGATGCAGCTAATAGGATGATTACGGGTTCCGGGACGGGACTCCTGGATACCCGAGCGGAGATTTGTGGCACTGAGCTTGGGGAAAGCTAGATCTGGGGCGACCTAGCCTGGTTCACGGTCTCGATGGGAGTTAGCGGCGTCAAAAGACCAAATTCATAGGGAGGCTGCACAGGGCCGGTGGGCGGAGCTTAAGTACGTCCACTCAGGTTCTAAAGAACTGGGTGGGGCTCCAAGGAGCCCATGGGCGTGGCTGCCCGGCCATTCAAATGCCCAGGAAAGCGGGCGTGTGCTCGGAGCCTCCCTGCGTTGCTCTACACCACCAGGGGGGGCGCTCTAAGGATCGCCGGGCGTCTAACCCGGACCTTCCGGAAGTGGGCGCGGCAAGGCGCGGTTCGGCGGTGTTGATTGGACGCGGCGCGGCGCTGAGGCGGGGCCTGCGCGAGG